TTTCAACTGGTTATTCCTAAGTCTGGAATTTATTCCACATCATTTAAAAATGCTACACAGATAAAAGCAAACAATATTTTTAAATATTGCTGATTTGCTATGCTAAAATTTACCTTTAAGCTGCCATGATTTCTAAAGCTATTTTCATTCATGGTCAATTAAATACTCTTAGATTTAAAAATTAAATTTTATATTTATACCCAAAATGAGTATCCTTTAAAGTAAGTTCACATGGAGTTATTTATCTTCCAAAGCAAGAAAAAGAGGAATAAACCAGAATTTTAACTTGACATATTTACATACCAGTTTCTGGTTATGTCCAGTTCCATCAGGTGACTCATGTGTTTTAGACAATGATACGTTAGAATGTGACTTTTCTAAAAAAAAAAAAAATGTATAGATTTATTAAACAGTTGTAATGTGTAACCATCTGTGCAAATAAAAAGTAATAACATTTTTATCTTCTAAATTTTATTTATATTTAAACTTACTTTTTGGTGAATAATTCTTTTTTAAAACTTTTTAAATTGTTATTCGTATATGGATCTGAGGACAGTACCCAGGAACTTGTGTATCATTGGCAGGAATTGTAGCACTTACTTTAAGTCCTTATTCCAGGCCTTTTTATTTGAAGACAGGTTTTCTACAAAGTGCCCTGACTGGCTGAAAAACTTCCCTTGGCCTGAATCAGTCTCCAAATATTTGCAATTACACATGTGTCCCACTGTGCCCAGTATATATCAAGATCATTGAGGAGTATCATAACACTACTTGGGGAGACACTAGGGGTTCAATGCATATAATAAATCAGAAGTTCATCTACTCAAAGTAAAAGAAAATGTCATGAAAAAAATTTAAATTACCAGGAAACAAGAAACATCATACTGCCTACTATCTCTTCACCCAAATAATAAGGTTTCAACAACCATTGGACATCAATTTTGTTGTCCCAAGTGATTGATCCAATTACAACTTCATCAAAAGAATGCAGTGTTCCTTTCTG